TAGGAATGGGATACCAACTAACAATCCTAGTTTGACTAGAACTACAAATATAACCCTACTAAAACAAAAATTAAATTCCTAGGAAACAAGAAATAAGAAATCCCAATCTTTAAGGAAAAGAAATCCTAATCTTGAATGGATTCTTAGACTTCTTCAATTTCTTGAAATTCTTGGGCCTCAATTGGACTAAGGCTAATTAGTGTAAGCATTTTAAATTCATGGCCCAATTCTCTAAATCCATTGGCACCTTCATGAGCCCAACAAACCTCCATTGTTGTAGAAAATATGGTCTCTATATGTTCATTATTCTCCCCTGGTTGAAAAGGACTCGCCCTCGAGTCATCAGAATAGTAGGGAGCAAGATCTGCTACATTAAAGATAGGTGATATTTCAAAGTCATTGGGAAGCTCCAAGCGATAAGCATTATTACCAATTTTTTGCAGTACCTTAAAAGGTCCATCAGCTCGCTTCTGTAATTTCGAAAACTTGCGGTTGGAAAATCTCTCATTGCTCAAATGAACCCAAACTAGGTCGCCTTCCTTGAACACCACATGTTTCCTACGTGTATCAGTCTTTTCTTTATATTTAGCATTTTGCTTCTCGATATGTACCCAAACTTTCTCATGTAGTTTCTTAAGTTGCTTTACTTAATCAGCAGCATCTCCACTAAAAGAATGAGTAACCAGAAGAGGGGAAAGATCAAGCGGTCCAAGAGGATTCTTACCATAAACAACTTCGAATGGACTCCTTCCCGTAGTGCGGTTGGTTGACTTGTTAAAGGCAAATTCAGCAGTAGGAAGTAACGATTCCCACTCTTTGAGATTCTTCTTTATTAACCCACGAAGCAAAGCACCTAAACTTCGATTGACAACTTCGGTTTACCCATCAATTTGGGGATGATGAGAAGGGCTAGGTGTTAGCTTAGTACCAAGTTTAGCCCATAAAGTCCTCCAAAAATGGCTTAGGAACTTCGAATCCCTATCTGAAACAATAGTTCTGGGAATTCCGTGCAAATTTACAATATGATCAAAGAAGAGATCGACAATATTTGTTGCATCCGAAGTCTTATTGCAAGGAATAAAGTGAGCCATCTTCGAAAATCAATCGACAACCATGAAGATGGAATCCTTACCTCTTTGAGTCCTCGGAAGGCCCAACACAAAGTCCATGCTAATATCTTCCCAAGGTTGAGTAGGAATTGGCAAAGGAGTGTAAAGACCCGAATTGCTTTTGTGCATTTTTGCCTTTATGCAAGTTTCACATCTTGCAACCAGCTTATTGACATCCCGAACCATCTTAGGCCAATAGAAGTTTTCTTGAACTAGACGTAGAGTCTTTACTTGCCCAAAGTGGCCAGCTAACCCTCCCTCATGGGACTCACGGATTATAAATTCACGCAAACTTTCTTGTGGAACACAAAGCTGCTTACCATGATAAAGATAGTTATCCCTAAGCACAAACATACGCTGAGGACCCTCCCAGCATTGACCCCAAATAGCTCCAAAGTCTGGATCTGTTGCATATAATTCCTTTATGTGTTCGAAACCCGTAATAGTGTTTTGCATGGCGGAAACAAAACAAGGCTTGCGACTTAATGCATCAGCTACTTGATTGACCTTCCCAGCCTTGTGTTTAATAACAAAGTGAAATGCTTGCAAAAATTCTACCCACTTAGCATGCCTAATGTTGAGTTTTTGTTGGCTATTCACATACTCCAAGGCCTCATGATCAAAATAAAGCACAAATTCTCGAGGTAAAAGATAGTGATTCCAATGAGATAGAGCTTTGACGATGGCGTAGAACTCCTTGTCATAAGTAGAATACTTTAACTTGACATCATTCAGCTTCTCACTAAAATAAGCAATAGGTCTACCTTCTTGACCAATAACAGCTCCAATCCCAACTCCGGAAGCATCACATTCAACTTCAAAGATTACATCGAAGTTGGGCAAAGCAAGCACAGGTGCTTGAGTCATCTTTGTCTTAATCATTTCAAAATCTTTTGGGCAGCATCCGTCCATTTAAACGAGTTTCCCTTCAAACACTCGATAATAAGAGCAACAATAGAGCTAAAATTCTTTATAAAACGCCGATAGAAAGAAACCATACCATGAAAGCTGCGAATCTCAGTTAAGCTTTTTGGAATAGGCCAGTTAGCAATAGCTTCAATTTTTCCCGAGTCGGCATGAATTCCTTCACTAGAGATAATATAACCGAGAAAAGAGATTTGCTCAGAAAAGAACTTGCACTTCTTCAGGTTGGCATAAAGTGTTTGCTCTCTTAAAACTTCAAAAATCGTCCTCAAGTGCTTCAAATGTTGTTGATCATCCTTGCTATAAATAAGTATATCATCAAAATAAACAACAACAAATTTTCCCATGTATGACTGAAAAATTTAGGTCATGAGCCTCATAAATGTGCTAGGAGCGTTAGATAGACCAAATGGCATAACGAGCCATTCATACAACCCCTTGCCAGTCTTGAATGCAGTCTTCCATTCATCACCCTCTTTCATGCAAATTTGGTGGTAGCCGCTCTTCAAATCAATTTTAGAAAATATCTTGGCCTCATGTAATTGATCAAAAAGATCATCAAACCTAGGAATAGGAAATCTATATTTGATGGTGATCTTGTTAATAGCACGTCTATCAACACACATGCGCCAAGATCCATCTTTCTTAGGAACAAGCAAGGCAGGTACAGCACAAGGACTTAAACTTTCCCTTATTAGTCCACGATCTAGTAGTTCCTCGACTTGTCGTTGAAGTTCCTCTTGTTGTGTTTGATTCATTCGATATGCTGCTTTATTAGGAAGTGGTGCACCTGGAATTAAATCAATTTGATGTTGTATTGACCTCATTGGTGGTAAGGAAGAAGGTGTAGTATCAGAAACAATATCATGAAACTCATCCAATATTGCTTGAAGTCGTGGGTCATTGACTTCTAATAACTCTTTCTTGGTGATAGATTCCACCTCCTTAGGTACTACAATACGCACTTCCTCTCCTTCCTTCAAGTGTTCTTCTACCTTAGTTCTTGTAATGTATGTCTCCTTCATTTTAGGATTTGACTTTAAATCCTCAGGGTTCATTGGGAGCAATTTGATCTTCTTTCCATCCTTGACGAAAGAGTAAGTGTTCTTGAAGCCATCATGAATTGCCCTTTTGTCATATTCCCATGGTCTCTCCCAAGCAGTAAGTGGCAAGCATCCATAGGCATTACATCACACCAGACCTTATCTTGATAATTCTTGCCAATAGAGAAAGGAATAAGGCATCGTTTATTAACTTGCGGTATGGCTTCATCCAACCACCTCATGCAGTATGGTTTCTGCAATGGCTCTGTCTCAAACCCCAATTTGTTAACCATTTCTTCAGAAACTACATTAGTGCAACTTCCTGGATCAATGATGAGTGTACAAACCTTTCCCTTAGATGTACAACGTGTATGAAAAATATTGTGTCGCAACCATGGTTCTTCCTTGCTAGAATCTGAATGAAGAACGCGTTGGATGTACAACGTGTATGAAAAATATTGTGTCTTGGAATAAAATTGATGTACTTTCAAGGTTTTGCACCTCTCAAGTACAAAGAAGAGAGAAAAACAAAAGCACCCCGCTAAAGTTTTTCACAAAACTAGCGAAAGCGTTCTTCAAACTCACGTTAGAAGAATGTAAGATGGAAAGAAACCTCACCCACACGTTCCCCAATCCCGCAAGATTGCAAGAAGAGTTGAATAAAGGAAGAACAACGAAATATAAAATAAATCACGTTTTTGAAGCAATAGCTTAGAAAAACTAATCACCAATGTTTATTTTCAGCATATTAAGCCCTTTAAATAGGCCTTACAATGAGTAAAATTGGTAAGGTTAAGAAAAACTAATCCTAATTAGACTAGAATAAGAATAAGGCTAAGAAAACCTATCCTAACTAAAATAGGAAAAAAGAATTCTAGTAGGAATGGGATACCAACTAACAATCCTAGTTTGACTAGAACTACAAATATAACCCTACTAAAACAAAAATTAAATTCCTAGGAAACAAGAAATAAGAAATCCCAATCTTTAAGGAAAAGAAATCCTAATCTTGAATGGATTCTTAGACTTCTTCAATTTCTTGAAATTCTTGGGCCTCAATTGGACTAAGGCTAATTAGTGTAAGCATTTTAAATTCATGGCCCAATTCTCTAAATCCATTGGCACCTTCATGAGCCCAACAAACCTCCATTGTTGTAGAAAACATGGCCTCTATATGTTCATCAAAGATAGAGGCGGTTCAGAGTTGGCCCAGACCGTCCTCAACTATAGAGATTCGCAGTTTTCTTGGTTTGGCGGGCTATTACCGTCGGTTCGTTCAGGGATTTTCATCTATAGCATCGCCCTTGACCAAGTTGACTCAGAAGGGTGCTCCATTCATGTGGTAGAACGAGTGCGAGGCGAGCTTTCAAAAGCTCAAGACTGCTTTGACTACAGCTCTAGTGTTAGTGTTGTCATCAGCTTCAGGTTCTTATACAGTATATTGTGATGCTTCGAGAGTTGGTATTGGGTGTGTGTTGATGCAGAAAGGTAGAGTGATTGCTTATGCTTCTCGTTAGTTGAAGCCCCATGAGAAGAACTACCTCGTTCATAATTTGGAGTTGGTTGCCATTGTTCACGCGTTGAAGATCTGGAGGCATTATTTGTATGGTGTGTCTTGTGAGGTGTTTACTGATCATCGTAGCCTCCAGCACTTGTTCAAACAGAAGGATCTCAATTTGAGGCAGCGGAGATAGTTGGAACTGCTAAAGGATTGTGATATTACTATCTTGTACCATCCAGAAAAGGCCAATATGGTGGTCGATGCCTTGAGTAGGAAGGCGGTGAGTATGGGCAGTCTTGCATTTATTCCTGTTGGAGAGAGACCTCTTGCAGTTGATGTTCAGCCCTTGGCCAATCGGTTCGTGAGGTTGGATATTTCGGAGCCCAGTAGGGTATTGGCTTGTGTGATTTCTTGATCTTCCTTATTTGATCGCATCAAAGAACGCCAGTATGATGATCCTCATTTGCTTGTCCTCAAGGATAGAGTTCAGCACGACTATACCAGAGATGTGACTATTGGTGATGATGGGGTGTTGAGGATGTAAGGCCGGATATGTGTGCCTAATGTGGATGGGCTTTGGGAGTTGATCTTGGAGGAGGCCCACAGCTCGCTGTATTCCATCCATCCGGGTCCTGCTAAGATGTATCATGATCTGAGACAACATTCTTGGTAGAGAAGAATGAAGAAGGATATTGTGGGATTTGTAGCTCGATGTCTCAATTGTCAGCAGGTGAAGTATGAGCATTAGAGACCGGGTGGCTTACTTCAGTAGATGGATATTCCAGAGTGGAAGTGGGAGCGAATCACCATGGACTTTGTAGTTGGGATCCCATGGACTTTGAAAAAGTTCGATGCTATTTGGGTGATTGTGGATCGGCTGACCAAGTCTGCGCACTTCATTCCTTTGTGTACTACCTATTCTTCAGAGTCGTTGGCAGGGATCTATATCCGAGAGATTGTTCATTTGCATGGCATCCCGGTTTCCATCATCTCAGATAGAGGTACTCAGTTTACTTTGCAGTTTTGGAGAGCCGTGCAGAGAGAGTTGGGTACTCAGGTTGAGTTGAGCACAGCTTTTCACCCTTAGACGGACGGGCAGTCCGAGCGTACTATTCAGATATTGGAGGATGCGCCTAAAGCAAACTACGAATGTTCAAATTATTTTCTACACTAGTTACAAATGCTCAAAGTATTTTCCACACTAGTTTTGGTATTAATGTGAGGGCCATAGATTATGGAATTCATTTGTGGATGGCACGCCTCAATTTATCTTGAAATCTATAGGACTACGCTCAACTGCTAGTAATTCATTAGTTAACCCCATCATTTGCAATTTTCGTAGAGTAAACTGAGTCAAACCCATGAGGTTCCCAGATTCAACTTTATTTGCATGTGTTATATATACAAGAAACAATTTCAATCACAAAGTAAAATTGTTCATACAACTAACAACGTGGAAAAATAACACCTTAAAAGCCCAATCATTTTAATTGAATGTCCAAATCCTCTTTCAAGATATTAGCGTTTGGCCCACATCTGGGCTCACATTAAAGCGGCCCAAAATTAGAGTTTGTACAGAAAGACTAAAACGGACAAAGGCCTCCATACGGGAACTTTACATGCTTGTTGAGCCCAATGCACATTAAATCAAATAATTATAATGGTCTAAAACAAATAACAGAACTGAGTCGCGAAAGGGATTATCAAAGAAATTTTAGCATGTTTATATCATTAATGAAGATAACATATGATCAGAGTAACAAAATTCATATAGTTCTGCAAACAGGTTTCAAATAAATTACAGTCATCCATAAGTTCGAATACATCTATATGAGAATTGCAGAATACATCATTTGACTCTTGAATTGTAACAAAATTTATACTCCAATTAAGAAAACAGTCCTTTGCACATATCTTCATAATCCCAATTTTTTAACTTATTCCCATTGGAATTTATAGAGGATGCATATTCTACAAGACCATTTACCAAATATAGAAACTCACTTAAGTCCTAAACTACAAATTAACTACATTATGGCCAGATCTGGAATGACTAGTCCTTGAATCAATTACCTTATTAGAACATAAAAGATAAACCCAAATGTCAGTGATTAGACCTCAAATATAAGTGCATGTACTTAATGATGAAATATAGGTTGGATTCTAGCTAAACATGTGAAGTCAAATATAATTCTGTCATGAAATCACTGTTGAAACAATTTGCCTTTCAGATGTCAATCTATAACAGGCTTCAAATAATGACTATATTAAAACTAAGCATTCTATTCATATTCAAAGCAAGATAGGTAGTAGATGTAAACAAACACAACAAATGTTTTCAGAAAAACAGGCAATATTTTATTGTAGATCAAAATAAGATATAGATGTGAGATGTGTACCTAAACTTGTACACAAGTTGAGATTTTGCCAAATCAAGGCTAAGAAAACCACTACTGGATGAGCTCAGCAAGATTAACAAACAGAAATAGCAGAAATCAGCTTATATTCTCAATCCACAACAGCTTATGATCCCAGAAAATACTAAACTCAGCAGAAGAAAACCCAAACCACAGCTTCAAGAATCCATTTCTCTTCTCAATCCCAGAAAAACAAAAACTTCAAAGACTAAAGAAGAAAGTTTCCAATTCTGAAAAAAATTCTTTGAGTGTGTTTTCTCTTTTTGTTTTGCTGTGCTTTCTGCCGTTTTTTCTATCTTTTTTTTCCTGCCCTAATGATTGGAAAAGGGATCTTTTATAAAGGAGATTTAGGGCAACAGAGCCTGTTTTCCTCATTCAAATACACC